GAGTTGAGGTCTTAGACAAGGCAATCTTACCAGTCCCTTCTTGTAGTCAATGTTAAGATAGAGCCCTAGAGAAATTCAGCTTGGTCAGTAGGCATTCAGAAGCTTCATCCAGCCAAATTTCAGTGATGGATGCTATGTCATCATTCGCATCCAGAATTTCATCATTAGAGATAGGCTTTATTATTATACCCTGATCTTACAATGCATAGTATGATTCAAGACCAGGCTTATTAGTTGGAAAATACAATGGAGTATTATGTTATAATATGTTATAACAATTACTACCTTGTCTTCTCTCTTTTTACTAAGATTTTTGTTCTATACTGGAGATTTTATAGTTTTCCTTGTTGATTTTAAAGTCTGCACATAAGGAAATTACCAGTACCTTTAAACGTCACATTGTAAAAAGGAAGAAATCTTTATGTGAATCTACTCTACAGCAAAATATCAGCCAAGATTATCCAGGTGGCTGAGATAAGAGAGTTTTGTTTAGGTTTAGAATATTAACATTGCACATTTGGAGTAGATGGTATGCTTAAAATATAACTCTTTGGTGAACAAAGTATATAGTGTATACACACTATAGATCTAGTAGATAGAATAGAACTATCATTAGAATAGATCTATATCATTAGAATAGATAATAATTGACATTATTTTAATAAATACTGTACTTTACTTCTTTTCCCTTTCTCCTTCTCCCAACTAAGCATGAACACCTGATTCATACCTCCAGGATGGGCAGATGTCTGAGTAACCTTTCGATTCTTGTTTTTATATTCTCCTTTCTCCTGGAATCATCAGATCATGGAAACTGCTCTTCTTGATGATAAAAGCTGAACCTGGATCACTTTACAGCCTGTTAAAATACATTGCAAATAAGCAATTGCTATAGAGTAGAGAGAGGCAATCCCTTTCTGTAAGAATTGGTCAGAGTAGCAACTTATAGTTCACCAAATTGGCAGCATGATGTGTCATTAATTATTAGTGCAGACATGCAATGCTTTTAAAAATACATCTTTTGAATTAAGCATAACAGGAGGCAATCATAACTATGTTGTTATAGGTGTCCTTATCTTAAATGCACAAAACATTTTTCTTCTCACATTTTCCAGAAAATAAACTAATCTCAACCTGAAAGCATGTATGCTGAGTTTCAATTTTCATCACAGAAATGTTACACTCCAGTGACTTATCCTAAAATTAGTGTTTAAAGCAGAAACAAATACAGCTTAATTGTAGAATCACAATATTTTTAAACGTAGAGGCCACAGCTACATGAGAGACTGACTGCACAGTAACCAGCATCCCTGAATGGCTTCATGGTGTTGCTGACTGCACAGTAGCTCATTACTGCTGTGCAGTAGTGTTGCATCATGCTTTGTGGCGCACAATGCTACTGCGCAGTAGTAATGAGCTACTGTGTAGTCAGTGTCTAGTGTAGATGCGGCCAAAATGACATTAGTGCAGAATTATTTTTAACATAGATAAAACTTCAACTAATGCAGGGTTATAAGCCATTTTAATAGTAGAAGCTTTTGTTCTAAAGGTACATGTCTTATATAGAGCCACACGCTACTGCTCCATCTTTTTGTATGTTCATGACCTTGGGAGTTGACCCACTAGGATAAATAGAAGAACACAAGATCCCTTGTAACAAGGAAGTCCATGCATGTGCCTCAAGGAGTGCATATACATAGCTCATCTGTCAGTTCCTTTTCTCCCATACAACAAACATTTTGACACCACACTGTTTGCATTATCTTTCCCACTTAGTGCTTTGTGAGGACAGTGCTTATTTGTCCCAGTGTCTGATCTTACACATTTGTCATAGTCTCATTCTTGTTTTTAAAAACAAAACCAACACAACAGAAGCTAATTCCAACTATAGATGTCACCCCCTATCCAGTGACTGGTTTAGGCTAATGTAGTGAGAAGTTGAGATAATGAAGTTGATTAACAAAAGTGGAAAGTTAACTTCATAAATTTTCCCTTTAACATACAGTAAACTCTCTGGTAACCAGCACCTTACAAGCCGGCATGCCCTGTTAACCGGCATGCCTGCTTGTAAGGACAAGTGAAACTGGAAGTGTCCACGGTGGCACTTCTGGTTTCTCCAAGTCCCCACAGCCTGGGGCAAAGCAGCCTGCACTGCCAAGCCCCCACGGCCTGGGGGCATAACAGGCTGCGCGGGGCTGTGTGGGGCCCGCCTCCCTGTTCCGTGGGGCCCGCAGGGCCCATGGGAGGGGTGGAGATGCCGTGGGAGGGGCAGTGATGTCACGGTGGGAGAAGTGGCAGCTGGGTCCACTCAATTAACTGGCATATTTTGTTATCCGGCATCCCCCATTCCTGGGCGATGCCAGATAACAGAGCTTTTACTGTAGTAGCCTTTCCAGAAGTCTTTCCTCAGGCCATCTGGCTTTCCTCAGTTTCTGTTATTGATATAGTTCAGATAAATCACAAGGCATTTACTTCATTGGCTACTGACTTCTGAATCTGTGGCTCTTTAAGGCCCTTATCCAAAGCTAAATGAAGTCCTCAGAAGTCTTTCTACTGACCACATTAGGCTTCAGGTCAGGAATTTGGCATGCTCTAGAACAAATGACAGCTACTTTAAGAAAGAATTTAGATGAATTTAGGAATCAAAAGACATGTAGAACATTGAATCAATAGTATTAAAATATGCCATGCTGCCATAGAATCATAGCTGTCACAATGATGTGTCTCCTGAAACCTCTGCCCAGGTAAACCGCGCTTGTCCTCCACCCCAGAAATCCTGAAGGATTTCATGTTTTCTTACTCTCTCACACATGTGGGATACATAGTCCTTAAATTTAACCTTCTCCCATGGTCGGATCTAGAATTTTTGAAGAAGGGGTGCAGGTAGTGTGGTGTATCATTACATGTAACACAATACATATTTTTCTCCTGTTAAAAAGAAACTAGGAACTGTACTAATATGCCTAGAGCTATATTATTCAGTGTAAGGTTGAAGCAAAATCAAGTATATATTTTTTGGAATGTGCATTAATTTGCTACATCATATGTCATGTATAAAAAAAACAACAAACTTGGCAAAAGTAATCAAAATATATTGTTTAATCAGTCCTGTAGTCATTAGAATGAAATGTACTGTGAAACTCGTTCAGATTCATAAAACAAAATCTAGCCTTCTTGAACATCATTACAGTGTATCCATACTTCACTGAAAGTTATTTCCATGCCCGAGTTAATGTTTTTACTTAGAGTTAAAAACAGTCTTCAGGACTATAACATAGGAGTTGTGTTACCAGCAGCAGAATTGCAGAAGAAAGGATAGCTTGATTAATGGAACATCAAAGCCAATAAAAAGGAGAGAGAGAATTGTTAACACCTGTGGAGTGAAGAGTCTAGAAGGAATCACATTTATTATAATGAGCCTTGAAGTCAATTGGCTCCTTCACTGCTACCTAAATAGAAATGCTGCTGCCACTGCCAGACAATTGGTTTTAACTTTGGGTGGACCAGGATTCAAAGTGGGATGCAACTGCGCCACTGGATCCACTCCTGCCTTCTTTTTACTTATTTTAAGAGGAAGCATTCTATATCTTCATCTTGCTCACAGGACAAAAGCAATGCTGTTTTTGGAAACAAGTGACCAGTTCACTGAATAGTAACAGAACTCAGCAAAATTGTTTTGCTTTAAACCCTAGATTGATTTTTTTTTAATTATTTTTATTCTGTAAAAGGTTTTGGATTTTTGTCAGAAAACTGGAAATAGATCACTTTATAGGAAAAGTTTCATATACAATTTTGGTTTAGCCAGAACCAGTTTTTACTATTATTATTGCTAATAAGGCCTAACTTGAGCTAATAGTGCCCAGCTTGAAATCAGTTGTGAAACAAGACCTGTGTTCTTCTATTCAAGTTGTGGTTCTTATTGGAGGAAAATGTCTTTGTTAATTCAGCAAGACATTCAAAATAACCAATTTGGCTTTTTGGATTGTTTATTTAAAATGGGAACATCTACATGAGACATTTACTGCACAGTAGTCTAATTAGCTGCACAGTAACCATCTCGCTGTCTACATATGCACCCTTATTAGGCTAGAGTAAACTAATTTACTCTGCAGCAGGACAGTACTTGCAAATGCAAGTATTATCTTGCAGTGGAATAAAAAACTCTGCAGCAGCACACATGTAGATGGTGATGGGGCTGGTTGGGGCATAAGGGTGCTTCAGTGTGGGGGCCTGCCAGCTAGCCAAGCACTGAAGCACCCTCATGCCCCAGCCAACCCTTCCACAGCACACTGAGCAATGAGGGAGCAGCCCTGGGCTGGCAGGCTGACCCCCTGGGTCTCCTGCCAGCTGGGGCTGCTCCAACTCAGCTCAATGTGCTGTGCTCCTGGGTGCATATTCAAACAGCAATAAACTCCAGAGTTTATTGCTCTGGAGTTTATTGCTCCTGGACACATGTTCAGTTGGCACACGCAGGAGCAATAAACTCCGGAGTTTATTGCTTCACATTAATTGCATGTGTAGATGTGTCCACAGTGGTCTAAAGTGAATTTTGTCTTGAGACATCAGTTATATATGCCTAACTTACCCACCTGACTGGTAGCAAAAACAACTACACAGGGCACATGTACATGTTTATAAATGCACAGTAGTTTCTGGCAGACAAGTTTAGTACTTGTTTAATGAAGTACTAAATAAATGCACAGTTACTACAGTTACCAGGACACAGTTTTTTGTGATGCTTACTGTGCAATAGCCTAATAACACTGTGCAGTAGTGCATTAACACGGTTTTTGACCAGCACGCTACTGCGCAGTATTAGGCTACTGTGCAGTAAGCGTCTTGTGTAGACTTTAGTTAAGAGATTATATATATTAAAAATTCTCTAGCCCTTTACCGAACAAGAAAACAAAACAAATACCATCAATTTGTACTTGTTTAGGCAATAGGGTTGGTCAGAAGTAAAGAAAGTGCTGAAATTTGCTTTTATTTTGTGTTTGCAGGTATTAGGATTTATGTCTTCATATGGCATAGGAGTGGAGTATAATCAAGCCAAGGTAAGAAAAATAGATATACTAGCCTTTTATCATTTAATTTTTAAAAAAAGGACTGCTAGCTTTGTTTATTCATTCCTTGTACTTTTTTTTATTTCTGTTTTAGGCACTTCTGTATTATACATTTGGAAGTCTTGGAGGAAACTTGATATCTCAGATGATTTTGGTTTGTAAATTAAATATTTAGTACCCTATTTCTTATTTCCTACAAAATAACCAAAGTAAAGGACTATTTGCTCATCTGTTTGTTTTAGGGATATCGTTATTGGTTAGGAATCAATGTTCCAAGGAACTGTGAAGCAGCATTAATTAATTATAAGAAAGTGGCAAAATTTAGTAAGTAATCCACATTATTACTACTGTCATAACTAATTTTATAAATTAAAAAAAGTATGAAAGGCATAGAAGAAACAAATAGAAGAAACACATTCTCATTCCAAATTAATAACAAGATAGAATGTACCAAACTTTGGGTTCAAGTGCACAGGTACAGCATTGTAGTAATATTAATAGGAGCTGTGCACATAGTTCTAGGGGTTGATTTTCATCTATTATTATTGGTAGTGTTGGAGTGATGTTGTAGCTGTGATGGTGCAGGAATTATGCGAGAGACCTTTCGCAAAGGTCACTTGATGAAGAGTGCTTTGCATTCTAAAGTTTGTCTAACTTTATCCCAACCATGCAGTTGGTTCAATAAAAGATATCACCCAGAAAACAATCCTTTTGTAATGGGGTCCTTACCTCATCACAGAAGGAAAGAGGGAGCCAGGGAGTGTCTGGCTGGCTTTAGCCCCTGGAGAAACTGATAGGGGCAGAAGGCCCTTTAATAAAATTGCCATGCACTCCAGGTGTGGTCAGCACAGTACGGCCAGTGATTGATGAGCCTGGGGTGGAATTAAGGGGTCAGGTGGCCCAGAGAGGGGGTTAGAGACATAAGCCCAGAGCCTGAGGGAAGGCAAGTGGTCTGATCCTGTAGGCTGCAAGAAGTAGAGCCCTGTAGAGGAAAGGGCCAAGGAGGACTGGCCAAGGAGGTACAACTCCAGACTGCAGGGAGCTCTAGGAAGCCCTTGCACCAAGTATTTGGGGGCCTTGCATTGCCATAGTATGCTGTTCCCAGGGTTGGGGGAACCTTTTGTTTGGGAGCAGATGCTTATAGTTTTCCATTGGTGTTGAGATTCAACTGGAGGGCCAGATTTTGGCTGTAGAGGATGTGGAGGCTGCTGAGAAGGGTGCCAGGGGCACCACAGATCCTAAATCCTTCAAGGAGGAGGCAGGCCATTGATGTCAGCAGAAGGGCAGTGGCATGAAATATAAAAGACTGGGAACAAGCCCAGAGCCCACAAAGGGTGAGACTGGGGCTGAGGGGCCCAGAGCCCATGAAGAGTGAGGCTAGAACTGGAATCTGTGAACCTAGGGTCCTGGGACACTGGACCTGGGTGGAGGCCAATCCAGAATAAAGTGGGCCAAGGCTAGGGGGCCTCAGCTCAGATGAGGATCTAAGACTGGAAGTGAAAACCCCTCTCCTCTAGGGGCAGCCTCCCTGTCCAATTATAACACCTAAGCATGGCAGGTGAGACAACAGGGAGGGACCCTGACAGGCCAGAGGGAGTGAGCAAGCTGGGATCCAGGCAGCCACAAAGGGGTGACTTTGCTGCCCTAGCATTGGATGCATTACACTTTGCCTCTCACTTCTATTATTATTTTCATGTTATGATCATTTTGTAATTTTAAATGATAACTATGGAAGTATTTTGGAAATATAGTAGGAATAATATATTTAAGTCATTTTCCACTATGAGCTTGATTTTGACTTCTGCATACTCACAAGTGCTGAATTTGCCATTTCCTGAACTATATTGGCTTTCCACCCAGTCACACCAGTACTGTATTGTGTGCAGTCCTAAATTGCATGAAGAAGTGAGGTGGGGAACAATTTTCCCATCCTACAAAAGCATGAGATTTAAAAAAAATTCTGGTTTGGACACACAAAGTCCTTTCAATGCTTTTTGTGAAAAAAAGAAAGGCATGAATTTGGCTGAGCGAGGTCTTGAATTTAGTTTCACCTATGAGTGCCATAACCCCTGGGCTCTTGGCTGTCCTCTTATTTTGATGAGAAATGCTATCCTCTACCCAAGTGAACCATTGCTGACAAAAGTGATATTCATGTTTCTGCAAAAAGGTTCTATTTTAAAAAGTTGACAATATTTGATGAAAAAACGATTTCACTTCAAAATCCTGTCTCACTTCTTGATGCATTCACTTTTTGTCACAAGTTTCTGCTAAGCATCTTTGCTCAAACCTGACTCTAGAACTTTTTTAAGCTTATGAGATTCACATTTAAAGTAAAGCCACAGATATGGTTTATACTTTGTGAAGTTCAAGGGAACCACATTTAAGGCATCATAGAAATTAGGCCCATCCAGCATAGCTATGATTCATGAATCCACTAGTGCTTCAAAGGGTAGATGGTAGGTTGTATCATAGAATTTAAAATAATATTCTCTTGGGACAGGGTGATGACCTCCAGTCTATAAGTTGTGGACAGAGAGAGATGTGAAAAAAGGCCATGTACAGAGATTCAGTTTCTCCTGACAGAGTTGCTGTTCTCCCAGGAGACACCATGCATGTACAGATGCTCAACATTTTTCTCCCAGAACAAAAATGGCTACTCAGAGAAAAATAACCTGGGAACAACCAAGGTTAAATCTTTGCCAGGAGAGTTTATCCTGGGACAGCTAATGTCTGTACAGGCTCTGAGACAAGCTACAGTATAGTCTTTCAGAATCTCCAGGTGTTTTGCTTTCATTCCCCACCTCCACCAGGTGATGGTGTGTCGCTCACTGGACTACTGCTCCAGCTGAGCTGGGAACAGAACACACCCCCTTCACGATCCCCACATTGAGCTGCAGGGCCGCACAAGCTGAGCTGTGCACTTCTGCTAGTCTGTCTCCAGGTAGGCTAATGGATCCCGTAAAGCATGCTGAGATGCATGCATAAGAGCTGTGCAGCATCAGCACTACAAGCTCTCTGCTCTTTAGGGGCTCATCATTAGAATTTCTGTTCAGTCATCTCTGGATAAGTTTTTTTAACAAGAGAACAAACCTGGGAGAATTCTCCTAGATCACTTGAATGCATGTACGCAGCCAAAGTTAACTTCTGCATTTATACAACTTCCATGAAGACCTTCTCAAGCATTGGGAGAAATAGAGGTATAATATTAAGATCTAATTTGTGTAATAGAAAGAGGCCAACAACTTTTTCTATGATCACTTAATGTTTTTATAATTAAGGCAACATCAATGAAACATCAAGTGATCATAGGAAAAGTTTTTTACTTCTTTCTGTTACCAGATATATTTTAATATTATACCTCTATTTCTTCAAATGCATGTAAAGGTCTTTATGGAAGTTGTATAAATGCAGAAAAAAATGGCATGTTGTTGGCAGAAATGAAAGTTAATTTGATAAATATGGTTGTGAATTTCCAAGTCAGCCCTACTGGACTTCTGTCCACATAACATAGTAGATACAGTAAAGAAATGGCAGTTCCTAATGTAAAATTTGGCACTGCCTCTTCTTCCAAGCTTTGTACTTTTCTTCTGCTCCTCTCCTGTTGTTAATGTTTTGTTCATTGTTATTCCTCAGCTTTTTAGTTCATTTCCACTCCTGCCTTAGGAGGATTTTCAGTTGCCCTTTTAAACAGTTGCAGGTCTCCTTTTCATGTTTCCTCTGATTCTGCTGCTGTTTTGATTTAGGTGACAGGGACAGTACCAGTCATTGTTCCAGAATTAAGAACTAAATACAGCCAAAGAATAGTTTCTAAAAAGAGAAATGATACAACTACCATTGTCCTATTCAGTAGTTTTTCTTTATTTTTGTAAGTTAACAATGAGCTCAGTTAGATACCATTCCTACCCTTGTCAACAGTACAGTAACTATTAAAAGAGAAAAGACAGTTTAAATTCGGTGCTTCATATATGCCTTCTATATAATTACATAATCACATTTTTGCATAATTCAGGAAACTATATAAAACATGTTTTGCCCATGTTAATCATTTCCCACTGGTTAAATACAATTCTGTCTCAACTCTTAGTTTGTAATTTTTATTAACAGTTGCTGATAAATTAGGAAAACATGATGACATGCCAGTAGAAAAAATGAGACTGATGGAAAGATCAGAAAATGTGAGTTACAACAATGTCTTCTTAGATTGGGATGTACAACAATACTACAAGTTTTTGGCTAAAAGAGGAGACACACAGATACAGGTGACTTATAAAGATGAAATCATATTTTTGTGAAAAACAAAATATACTGACTTACATGTACAGGACAGTACTAGATGAATTAAGGTTCAGACCCACAAAAGGACTTAGAGGGAAGCAAAGCACATAATTTCAAAAGTGATCCTCAAAACCCATACCTGGGGTCTACAGGTATCTAATTATTCATGAGTGAAGTTCCCACATAGATGAAAGTTCTGCTTTTGTGCATTTGCAAACTGCTCCAGACTGAGCAACTTGGTACCTTTCACAAGGTAAAGTCTGATTGGGACCCTCAAACTAAGTGGTCCTCCTCCTGTCTTTCCTGAAGACCCCACTCTGTTAGGTAGGCTCAGAGCACCCTATTACATACCTACATGTGTACAGTGCATACAGAACACTGCAGCAGCTGCTGTTTTCATTGAAAACACACAGCAAGAGGAAGGAGTAATGATGTTTACTTTTTCTAATAGCTAAGTGTTAAGAGTATTTGCCCACAATGTGGAAGACCCAAGTGAAATTCCTTTCTTTCCCTGAGGATGTTGAAACCCACAAGTCCCATCTCCCAAGAGAAAAACTTTCCACAGGTTATAGACTAGTCTAGAATGGGGGTGTTCTCATTTCTGTCTCTTAAATCTATTCCACTATGTAGAAAAGAATTCAAGAGTCATTGGGCCAGAAGCAGAGGAAGCAAGAAGGATCTTGACTCTGTAGCCCACTGAGAGAGGCACTCGGTACCCTGCAAGCACATATGCATTTGACACTGAGCATTCAGAGCCACAACACATTCTAGGCCTAAGTGTTTAAGTCATACTGGGCCATAGTAAGGACCACTGTAGTCAAAGAGAGTAGGATTTGGGCACATAGGAAGTAAATACTGGGGATTTGCCACATGGCAGATGGACAAAAGTGTCCACACATGTAGATCTGCTTACAGAATTAGGGTTTTGGGCTGTAAACAATTCAGGCATGGACCATGCGTTTATAATGCCTATCACGATGGGGATCTCATGGTTGATTATGTACTTTGGGTGTTAGCATAATGTAGAAATAAAAACACAGTTTTGTGGGTTAAGCCAAAACCTTTATCACCTTCATTCCATTGAAGAAACACTTTCAAGATATACTACTGGCTCAGAACTCAGTGATTAAATACTTTAAAACACTTTAATTCTATGCCAATAGGGGATTTGCAGTATCTATTTCTGGGATTTCACAAGGGTAGAGAATGTTACTGAAATAAAATCTTTTGAATAATTATTTCTAGGTGTATCTTGGACAATTACATCTTGTAGGAAGGAAGGGAGTAGAAAAAGATCATTCTGTAGGTATACTTTATAAAAGTTCAGTATTAAGTCTTGTAGTACTAGTCTTCCCTACAATATCTTTATTTAAATATATGAATATTTTAGAGTAAGCCAAAATAATTTAATTTAGTGGACTCTGTATAAATGAGATTTGCATGATATACTATAGCATTTTATTGGATGTCCTTGCAAAGGTAGATGGCTCCTGATTCAATTACTGGGCCCCATGATTACCTTAGAACTCCAAAGCAGCTAAAAAAGTACCAGGGAAAGATTTTTTTTAAACATATAGAGCAAATGTAAACACTTCTGATTTGCTCTGAATATCTTAGCCTATGCCTACATATGATCTCTTGAAAACAATTGTTAAAATATTACCAATCACTATGAAACAGAGCAAATGACAAATTTTAATGGAACAGTTTTCCATCACAAAATGCAGTTTTGCCAAACAAAATATTTAATCAGAATGAAACCCATGGCAATTCTTTGGGATAAGTTTTTGATGGGAACATTTCATTTCAAAAAGGAAAAGAATTTCTGACTTGTATATTATAATAATGATATTATAGCTAATATTAAAATATTTTATAGTATTGAAACAAAATGATGTTCCAGAATTCATCTACAAACATTTTATATATTTTGATTTATTTTCTTCCAATTCAGAATGAAACCAACTTCCAAAATATCAGAACATCCCACAGAATAGAAATTCTACTTTCTGGCCAGCTCTAGCACTATGATTCGAAAAAGGTCAAATTTATTGCTGATGCAACTCTGCTGGGTTCAAGTTAACTAAATGTACAAGCATAACCAAACTCTGGGTAAAATTAAATCCAGCAACCCCACCTCATTAAACCTGGCATCTACAGCCACTCAGAAACAAAATGATGGTGATTAATGACCTGTTTCAGACCCTGATCAGTATCAGGTCCCTACAGCATCTAAAACAGAAAAGACTTTAAAGGAAAGAGGTGTCACCTATTCCATATCCAAGGCTGGGAAGCTTCTCAGAATATTTTGGTAGAAACAGCCAAATAACCATGAAATCATTAATTCAAAATTTTCTACTGTAAATAACATGTTACGTTACTTCAGGGTTTTTTTTCTTCTCTTCTCTTTTCCATTCCTTTTCCTGTTTTCAGCATCCTTTTCCTCCCGATTTTGACCTTCTTGTGCTAGTTGCTTGCTAAGTTGGAAAAAATGGTGCCCCCTCCATGCATTAATACCTGGTTAACTGAAATAAAAATCACTGCTTTTTTCTCTTGTCTTCTGACATGCTGCGTACTGGACACTGTCAGACTCAGGTCACCTGTGCAAAAATTAGTGAATCAAGTGACCATGTTTGGGTGTTATATGGCAAACATTTTCAAACTGCAAAGTGAATTCTACTGTTCAGCAGTAGCGTAACTAGGGGTGGGAAAGCAGGGCGCCAGCTCAGACTTAGATGGGGAGAAAATTGGCAGCAGCCATAATTGCCAGCCCAGGAACCGCTGCTACCCTGGGTGCAAAAATTGCTTGTTAGGCATCTGCTGTTCAGCCTTGGGAAAATGCACAACTCTGAGGGCCTTGTTACACATTACACCGTTAGCTGCTCAAATGTTGATTGGTGTAAGTCAGGGGTGGGCAAAATGTGGCCCGGGGGTCAGATGCGGCCCACCAGGCCATTCTATCTTGCCCGTGGGGCCCCTAAAAAATTTAGAAAATTAATATTTATCTGCCCTGGGCTGCCTGTCATGCAGCCCTCAATGGCTTGCCAAAACTCAGTAAGCGGTCCTCTGCCCAAAATAATTGCCCGCCCCTGGTGTAAGTGCTAGTTCATGTTTGGAGTAGTAACACAATCTGGCCAGCAAGGGCCTGGAGGACTGAAAAGTAAGAAGAATACCCCGCTCCCATTCTGGGCTTCCCTCCTGCCCCCTGGGGCTCCCATGGTCCTCCCTCCACCCCTAGGACTCTCCCTCTGCCTCCTCTCCCACTTACTTGCAGCTGCCCATGCTGTCTGTCCCAGGGGAGTTGGTAGGGAAGGGTTACCCTGCCTACCCAACCCCTGCCACCACTGCCACTGAGCTCCTGCTCTTCTCTAGGTTGGCAAGGACTTTGGGGCAAGGGACTTTTCTAACCTCTCCTTGCACAGTGCCCAGAACAATGGAGCCCTGATCCAGATTCCAGCATTGGATAATAGTACAGTACTATTATTTGAAAAATAAGGATGAAGCAACAAATTAAACTTCAAAATCAGCTCTCTCTCCCCAAATAAAAGCAGATCCCAAGCTGCCAGAGAAAGGAGGGAAGTAGAGGAAGGTTTCTTTTTACTCTGTTCCTGTAAGGGAAACAATTTAATCAGTTTCTTACCTTCCTGTTCCTACTAGCAAGATGGAAAATAAGACAATTTCTCACTTACTGGGTTAGTGAAGTCCCCAGAATGCAAAGATCTGAACAGTTGGGAAATAGGGGAGGGATGTATTTTAAAGTCAAAAGAATAATACTTTTGAAAGGTAATTCATATTTTGAGGAGTATTAATATTTCTTTCTTATGTCCCCATAGACTCAAATCAGCATCTGAAATATTGATTTATATGGTCTCAACCATATAAGTGACAATCTGGTCCTATTCTGAAAGCTGAATCCTAGGCAACTTCTGACTACTGCAGCTGTCACACTTCCATCATATCAAATTAAGCCCTGATTCTACAGGCATATTAATTGGGATTGCATGTGCATAATCATATAAGCCTTCTATTTAAGTTTTTGCACATTCAGGATCTAAATATGTAAAGCCATTTTTAATGTCATGATGCATTTTTGGTCCATATGAATCAAGGGATGGCATATTGCGTAGCAAAATATTGATCTTGTTTAATATTTATTTAATTCTGCCCCCTACCTCCCTGCCCTCTGAAAAAGCATAACTTTGTCTTTGCTTCTTCTTCAGAAAGCTTTCTACTACTTCCTAAAGGCAGCAAAAGCAGGGAATGCTAATGGTATGGCATTCCTGGGAAAGGTACCTATTGTTTTTGTGATTAACTTAAGTAATTGCAAGGGTTAAGAAGTAGAGAATGGCTAGATCTAACTCAGTCATCCAGAAGAATGCTGGTACAAAGACCCCTGCCCCTTGCACATCGTGGGCGCGTCCAGATGTGCATGGACGTTTGGTTCCCCAGAGACAAGTTCTTGTCCCCAGGGAATGCCTGTTCCACGCATGCTTTGGTGTGAGGCAAGTTGCCTCGGGTGGCATAGGGGAGGCTGAGACCAGCACTGTGCTGGTCCCAGCAGCCTTACCTGGGGGCCTTCTGGAGCTGCAGCCATGGTGATCCTGCCAGGCAGAGCCTGGCCAGCAGCTGCAGCGTAGCTCCGAATGGCCCAGCTCCTCGTTATAGCAGCACATGCTGCCTGAGCGTGCGCTGCTTCAGGATATCTGGGGTTAAAAAAAAAACGCAGGGGAAAAAAAATGGAGCAGCGCACGCTTGGGCAGTGAGCCCTTGCAGCACGGAGAACTCCGGACTGTGCAGTATGTGGCACTGCAAACATGTTTGCAGTGTCACATACTGCACGACCGTGCTTGTCTGGATGTGCCCTGTGTGGCCATCCCACATCTTGACTTAAGACACTGGGGACAGAATAGGCTCCTTGGAACTGCTACTCCCTACCATAAGCAGAATGGGAAAAGGGCATGAAGAAACAATGGCTAAGCTTGACAGAGTTGAATCAGGATGGAACAGAGTTTGTACAAATGGGCAAGACTGAACACCTTCTCTTCAGTCTTAAACCAGCTGTATAAGTCCATTATTGGACTGACAATGAAAAGCAGCAACACAGAAAGAGGCTCAGATAACTAAAAATATAAAATCAAAGCCATAGCTGAACAAAGGTTTGTAGAAATGCAAAATAAAACAAGTCACTTTACATCTTAAAATATATTTATAGCTTAAATTATATTTATGTATTTATTTATATATACAGACCAAGTTCTGCCTTCAGTTACACTAAAGCTCACTGAGAAGCCACAGGTGAAGTGTGCACACATTTTGGCCCACAATACTTGCCATAATCAGAGTAACAAAGTAGAATAGGATTTCAGAGGGGATATAGACCATATTTGGAGCCTAAAGTATTCTCATATTTAATTGTAGAGGAAATATGAAGCTTTGCTATTTTGCCAGTAGATAAAAGTAAGAAACCTACCAAATTACTGGGTGACTACAAAGCCAATCTGTCTCTTTTCTATGTACTCTGGACTCTGGTGATACTTAATATTGCTGATAAACAAAAAGACACAGATACACTGTACAGCCTCATTATAACAACCCAACCCTCCAATTTAATCATCTAAACAACAGGAGCTAATCTTTCCATTATTATGATGCAGCATATTGACTGATATTATTACAGCAAACAGCCTCTTTTAAGGAATCTTATCTCAGTCCCAAGGAGTTCATTTTAATGAGATTATACTGTATTTCAGCTCCAGTACAAACTCTGGAAGGATATAAGTGC